ACAATTTACCGTGATGTATCCCCAATAACAGGAGTATGAATACGCAATGTGAGCTGATTATGTTTTCGCCGTCGTCGTCGTCGTCGTCGCCAATGTCGTCGCCGTCGCCAACGTCGTCGGCGTCGTCGCGGGCGTCGTCGTCGTCGTCGTCTCGAACATCTTTCGTGTTTTTGTCCGCCCCTCTTTGCGCCTGCGGGAGTTCACTTGCCGTCACAGCAGGATCAGTTTCATCAGCTTAAGCGAGTGCTCCTGAGTGGTGAGCATTGCGAGTTCATCAGAGTCGAACAACGCCTTGATCGAGGAAGTTGGAACAGTGAGTTGCCCATGGTCAGTGCGAAGTGAGGAGGTGAAAGCAGCGATTAAATGTTTGCCAACAGTGTGGAACTTAGAGAGATTACTGTCACTCTGCGAGCTTTCTGACGTACAGTCGAAACCCATGCCACGAAACACCCTGCCTGCCTCCAGGGTGTGCTGGGTTTATTGGTTTCGCTGGTTTCGCTATGGAAGGCGTTACGTTCCCACGCAATAAATCAGTGGACGTCCTGGGTGTCTCAGGGTTGGGTTTCTTGTGGAACGTTTATTGCGGTCGAGCTCCTACTGCATGCGGGTGATATTGTGCCTGCGTTTCGGTCGATTCGCCTGCGTCGCATTCAGTCGCGTTCGGTCGGTAGGATCAATCGGTTGGTGTGTCGCTGCTGCGTCGCTGCGCCTCTCCAGGTTGTTTGCGGGCTGTCGACCTCGGCCTCGTTTGTCGGTTTGGCCGGTTTTCGATTGTGCTGTCGTTGTGCCAAAACGTGCCCCCCGCGGCACGCGGTCGCAGAGGCCGCTAGCGCCGAGCCCGCGCCGAGCGCGGCCACCCCAGCGGAGCCGCCCGCCGAGGGGGCCCCGACGGACCTCCGTCGTCGTCGTCGTCGTCGTCGTCGTCTTTCTATCTCCGTTTCCGTTTCCCCTTCAGACGACACCCACCGTGTACCATACCAGCTCGATACACGCCACCGCTCGTGCTGGGCGGAAGCTAGTATCGAACGGATGTGGTAGACGCTTGGCGTCGCCCAGACTCCTCTTCCATCCTTCTCTCTCCCTCCGCCCCCTCCTCTTTGCGGAATGTCATCTACCATGCGAACAACACAACCATTCTCTCCCCCGACGCAGCTTTGCCGTGCTAAGTCGACGAAGCGGTGGCCAAGGCGCTGCGGAGGGTCCCAGGGACCTCATAGGGAAGCAATTCGGGACAGAAGCTCGTCCGGGGGAAAGCCTTGGGTCCAGGACCCGGTCCGTGCAGGACCCTGACCTCCCCCAGCAATTCTTCGGCTTGCCACCCCCCTCCTGTCTGGCAGCTCTCCCTGTCAGCGCAAGTGTCCCCCTGCGGCTGCCACGGGCCATGACACGGTGAGTGCCATGCACGGTCTTCTTCGGAGCAGCCGTGTGCGCTTCTCAGTGTCGGGCATGTTGGAGACCACACGCGCGCCCAGTCCTCTGGCGACGAGAAAGCCTTTGCGCCAGATGTGGGCCTCCTGGGGCTGCACCTCGGTGGTCCAGGGAAGAAGGTGAGAGGCTGACCCCAGGGAGGGATCGATGTGTTCGGCTGTCTGTCGCACACGTCGTGCCGAGGAGGAGGACGAGGGGCGCTTTTCAGACGGCGTCCTTTCTAGGCCTCTCGAGGGGCCCTCGACACTACGGGTGGACCAGCCTCGAGAGGACCGGGGGGTCGGTCTTGAGGGGAATGAGGCCCTCACTTTCTGGCCCCACCCTCGCCCGTCGCGGTGCCCCGTTCGGGTGCTCTTCGGTCGTCTCGGGGCCCTCCGAAACGCGCTCGAACTCATCTGAAGCCGACGTGCTTGGGAAGCGTATATGCAAAAAGCGTGTTTTGTTGTGCTGGTCTTGGCTGACAGGCGCCTCTGCCAGGGCCTTTTGGAGTCTCTGAGGCCGTCTAGGGAGGTTCTTCGACGTTTCTTGCAGCCCTCGGGTGCCATCATGGTAGCCTCTTGGCATACTCGTGCCGCCCTGTTGGTGCCATGTGGCTCTTGGCTCAAGCTGAGCTGCTTCAAAAGTAGCCACCTCCTTAGCGCTCGTCTGCGGAGAGATGTCGTCTGTTTGTCCACGGCCAACATTTGGACAGACAGAAGGTGATGTGGAGGCAATGGCAAGTTGGCATCAGAGCAACATCAAGCCGATCAGAAACCAGGTCAAGGATCTGAAGTTGTTGCCACACGAGCAGGCGTTATTCGATGTTGGCGAGCTTCACGGTACCACGCACGTCGGGACATCGTCTCTGCCCTGAGTGCGGACGAGCACGGCCAGAATTCGGAGGAACGGTGCTTAGTGTACAGGCCGATGGGAGAGAAGGAGTGCAGCTTCCTGTTGCAGAACGGAACCTTGCCACATTCCCAGCCTTACCAGACCATTGTCAGGCCAGACGAGGGCAGGCGTTACGCAGAGAAGTATTTGCGCGGCCATAAGCAAGTGCATTCATCGCCGACCACAGTGGTCGAATTTATGCCACGTGCTTTGGTGGACATGCTTTTCGATTTGCAAATCAAGAGCGAGGACGGCGCAATTTCGCACGGACTGAGGGACAAAGGCGGAACGGGCTTGCCGCTGTTCAATGCCAGCTTTTAAAGTTGCGAGTTCACATGTCGCATTGTCCTAGTCAAGCGCTCTCACGTCAAGGACACTCCGCCGTTCGGGAGCATTCGACGGCGTGCCAGGTGAGATGCGCATGCCTTCAGCCAGATGGTGCCCCAGTGCGCTCATTACACCCACCCACACACACACACACGCACGCACGCACGCACGCACCCACACCCACACACACACACACACACACTCTGAAGCGGCACAAGGTCGGCGGTTGGCACAGCCGCCAGTGATTCGTTCTTGGCCTTTGGCAGGGCAGATCTGCGGTGCGCTCTTGTGCACAGCTTCGGTGCGCCCGTGCACGTGGCTAGCTCGCTGGCCCTCGCGAGGCCCGCCGCGGGCGAGCCTCGTGCTGCCGTGGCGCGAGCAGGAGAGCTGCTGCGCCGCCGCAGGGCCGCCTGCATGCCTGGGTTGGGCACCTGTCGACACCAGGGCCCCCCCGTGCTCGCCTCCCCGTGGCAGCCGCGCGTGCGCGAGTCCTCCGCGCACCCCTGCGCAGAGCCTGCCGCTCGGAGCCTTCCCGGCGTTTGGCCAGCGGGGCCTGCACGCGGTCCCCCCCCCCCGGTGTGCCCCCCCCCTCCCCCGCGCCTGGCGTGGCCGCCCTGTGCGCCCCGCGCTGCAGCCTCCGCGGAGACAGCCCCACGACTGCGACGCACCCTGGGCCCCGCCGCTCCGACCTGCGCCCCCTCGGCTGCGGCCAGACGCGGGGGCGCCGCCACCCTGGCGCAGAGCTGTCGGCGAGCACTGCGCAGTGCTTGTGGATCGAGGAGCGGGTCGCCCGAGGGTTGCGCGGGTGTGGTGCGTTCCGGGCCCCCAGAGAGCATTCAACGGGCAGTTTTTGCGGCGGCGACCGCGTTGCCAGGGCGTCCCGCTGGAGGGGTCGTTCGGCCGTCCGCGCCAGGGCGACCAGCTCCACAAAAGAAAATGCCCTGGCACGCAAACACCTATTTTTTATCGCGCTCTGCGCCGCCCCGAAGGCACTTCCACAGTGCCTTCGGCGCGCGCGACCGTGCGCAGCACAGTCTGTTCGGCGCCGCCTTTGCGCGGCGCCAGCATTAAACGGTCGGTTTTCGCGGCGGCGACCGTGTTGCCAGGGCGTCCCGCTGCAGGGGTCGTTCGGCCGTCCGCGCCAGGGCGCCCAGCTCCGCAAAAGAAAATGCCCTCCTGCCACGATCGGGAAGCGAAGGTTCAAAAGCCTGCAAGGCCGCTCAAGACGGGCCTACAGCTGTCCGCCCGTCCCGGAAAGGGGCCATGGCTCTCGAAGAGGGCCCTAAAGAGGCACATGATATTCTACAAACATTGATTTCTTTCAGGTACACTCCATCTGTTGGTCGTCACAGCGCCCAAGTTTCAAGACGGTCCCACTGGATATCGCCCAACGAAGGCTCAAGGGAGCCCCAAGAGGGCTCGTCCATTCCCCTCGTCCTTCCACACTTGCCCCACCTGCCCCCCCGAGTTCCCATTCCCCTGCTTCCAGCCCGCCTTTCCATCTCACGGCAGCATGTGACTCATTCGTGGCAATCGTGTCCTCCCAATGGTTCCGCGACGCCCCCCTGTTGCTGGCTGCCACCGTGAATCGTGAAGACAGTGGATCCCGAGGGAAACGGGTCCTCGGTTTCTCGGCTCTCTCGGTCTCTGTGGGCCCACCGGGGCCTCTGGACCGTCAATCAAGCAGTTGCGAAGCGTCCTGGCTCGCCTATAGCCCCACCAAGTGATGTTCTAAGAACCTTTTGTGGTTTCCACGAAATATTCTTAGAACATTTCTGGCGGAGTCTGTTTTGTTTTAACACATCTGGTTTGTGCTCTAAGAACATTGTTTTTGTTCTTAGAAGACTTCTGAGTTCTAAGAACATTTCGTGGTAGGACTATAGGAATGCCGGGACGGTCGGTCCCTGCTCAAGTCAAACAATGCCCCGGGATTCCCATCCCGGCGCCGGGGAGGAGAAGAAAGAGGAGGATGACGAGGAGGACGAGGAGGAGGACGATGAGATGGAGGAGGAGGAGGACGAGGAGGAGGAGGAGGAGGAGGAGCCGTCAAACAGCGCCCCGGGATGGGCATCCCGGCGCCGGGGAAGGGAGCCTCGGCCGGGGCCCGGGGGCTCCGGTCCCCTCGTGCCTCCTGCCAGAGCTGCCCCGGCGGCCGCCCGCAGCAGCCACGAGCGGAGGCGACGGCGGTGAAGACGACGACGACGACGACGACGACTTCGACGACGACGGTCACGACGACGACGGCGGCGGCGGCGGCGGCGACGACGACGACGACGACGACGACGACGACGACCGCGACATTGGGGGGGGGCGGCCGCGACGACGCGTCCGATCAGGCCAGGGGCGCGCCAGTGGGCGCTGCCTCCGCGCCCGCGAGGGCGGCAGGCGCGGCCGCGTCGGGCACGCGCTCTCGCGCTCCCGCTCCCAGCCGCCCTGGTCCTCGCTCTCGCTCTCGCTCTCACTCGCTCTCGCTCTCGCACTCGCTCCCGCTCTCACTCGCTCTCGCTCTCGCTCGCTCTCGCGCCCCCAGCTCCCACTCGCTCTCGCTCTCGCTCTCGCTCCCGCGTCGCTCCTGTCTGTGATCCCGCTCCCAGCCGCCCTGGTCCTTTTCCTTCTCTTGCATGCCGGCTGATGAGCCATTCGTTTACCCCGGAATGCCACACGCCGAAGCGGGCCGCCTCTGCCTCGCCGCCGACGGAGAAATGCGATCCCGCTCCCTTATGCACTGTTTGTCCGGCCCTCACCCTCACTTTGCACCCCCAGGCATACAGCATCGTTGCACTAAGTCGGGCACGTCCCTCTACAGGAGGAAAATCCAAAAATAGTCAGCAAATCATATGGATACGATTTGTTGAACATTTGTTTTTACGATGTTTGCGGAAGTTTCGACTATTGCTTAAATTTTATCTCCAAAACCCGTTTGTAGGAGGACATGCCCAACCTAATCGTAGCACACAGCAGGGTCGGTGTTGTACGTGTCGCCATCCCTCGAACTCCAGAGGCCGTCCAATCGGAGGAGACTGGAGGCAGGAGGCAGACGTGGGGGAGGAGGAAGAGGCGGAGGGAAGGAGAGAGGAGGAGGAGGAGGAGGAGGAGGAGGAGGAGGAGGAGGAGGAGGAGGAGGAGGAGGAGAAGGGACGACAGAGGAGGCAGGAGGGAAGATGATGGAGGAGGAGAAGGAGGAGGAGGCGGAGGAGGACCAGTGCAACTCCAAGACGCGTTAACGATGTTGCAGTACACCCTCCCTCCAAGTTCCCTCTTCATAGACCCCACAAGGATTTATCTCGTTCCCGGAAGTGCCCTATTGGAAGACAACAGTCTGAGAATCGGGGACCCCCAAACGGTGTAGTGACCACACCGTGTGGTGAGTCAGTGGGGATTCGGGATCACCGCACGGTTTTGGGACTCGGGTCGTTCTCCGAGGACGTCTCGGGCGACTGAGGCATCCGAGGTCCCCAAACCGTGCGTTGACGGACCGTGCGGTGAGGTCTTGGGGGATTTCGAGGTCACCGCACGGTCTGTCACCGCACCGTTTCGGGACTCCAAAGAGAATCACTAATCATGTTAACACGCAGTTCCTGGGACTGCAATGCCGCGAATCAAAGTGGTTGTTGCGCCCTGACAATCCCACATCGTGCCAGAACATCGTTCCTGGAATTCCAACCATACGAATCCTTGAAGCCGCTTCAAACCTTGAAGACAAATGCGCGCGGCGCTAATGCGATAGCCAGGGTCATACATGGCGGGGAAGACTCGGGTGGCCCGCCAGGCCCGCTCTACTGACATGTTTAGGGGTACGACAGGGAGAAGTCATTCACCATGAAAGAGGGAGGAGCATGGACGGGGTAGGAGGAAAGCGGAGAGGAGGATAACGGTAGGAAGTAGGAAGGAAGAATGAGGTAGTGAGTTTTCAGAGGGGAATGGTCCCGACACGCCATGGGAGCAAGCCTAGTTCTGGTCAGCGGGCTCTCACAATCACTGGAGTCGGGTGGCGATACCTAATGTTGTCGCTCGAGTTTGCTTCGTGTTTAGTTCGTTCCTGATTCAATTCTCCTAGTCAACGGACGCGCCGACAAAACAAAGGGTCCGTCTTTGGGCCCTCTCGAGTTCGTGTTGGGCCTTTCTCGGGGCTCTCTTGGACCCGCTGTTGGGGGATCTGAGGTTCGTTTGGGGTGGTCTTGGTGCTGTCCCTGGAGGGGCGGGGGCGTTTGGGCAAAGTTTGGGCGGTCTTGGGACGGGCTTGGCCGTCTTGAAAACCAGCTGGGAGCGTTGGGTGAGGGGGACGCAGCAGCGCCTCCTCCTCCGTCTCAGCATCCTCCTCCCGAGGAGGAAGAGGAGGAGGAGGAGCGGGAGGATGAGGAGGAAGGGTATGACGAGGGCGAAGGGACCAAGAATATGAAGAGGACGAAGAGGAGGAGTTGGAGGAAATAGTAGGAGGTGGGAAGCCGACAGGGAGAATCAATGGCTCGGAGGGAGGAAGACGAAGAGGTGGAGGAGGACAAGGAGTGGCGGAGGCGGAGGAGGTGGAATAAGGAACTCCTCCTGCCTCCACCCTCCTCCTTCCACCCCTATCCCTCATACATAAGTCCTCGCTGTGGCGCCCCGTAACGTGTAGGTACGGCGGGACGGGCGTGTCGCCTCATATTTCCTCACCATATGTGATCCTGAAGCTTTTAAAGCATGGAACAGCTTCACGGTCGGAGGGCGGGCCGATTGCAACATGTGGTTATCGCCATCGTGCCGTGTACACTCGTCTCAGAAGTGTGCAAAGAGTTTCACGGATTGAAGGCGGGCCGATTTCAAAATGCGGTTCTCGCGTGTGTGCCGCGCACATTCGTCGTACAAATTCGCAAGAGCTTCACGGATGGAGGACGGGCCTGTTTCAATATGTGGCTCTCGCGCTAGCGCCGCGCACAGTAAGTTCGTCTTCGACGTGCGCAGGAGTTTTAAAGGATCTGATGGTTGACGCCCCAGAAATTGTTCTTTGATACGATTTAGAGTTGTTAGGACGCATCAGTAACGTTGCTTTGCTGCGTTGTCCGAGAATCGGTGTTTTGGAACGGTTGAATTTTTCCAATGGGGCGTTCCCCGCAGTGGCAATCAATCTTTGCAGGGATTTGTGAAGAGGCAATTTGGAGGAGGGTTCACTGCAACATCGTTGACGCGTCTTGGGTTTGCACTGGTCGTCCGTCTCCTCCCCCTCCTCCCCCCGATTGTCTGCTTCAAGTTCATTGTTATGGTAGATGATTCGTGTTGGCTCACGGGCCTTCTTGCTTTTCGGTGGCCGCGGTGCCATGGCCAGCGCCATGGCGGCGGCACCCACACTCCTCGGCGCTGCCGTGCGGGGCGGCGGCTTTCGCCGGGTGGTGGTGGCCACGGCGGCTGCCCTTTGGCGCGCTGGCCGGGAGGGCGCCAGCAACGCCCGGGTGGAGGAGGTGGGGATCGACGCGGAGGCGGTTCCGGCATTCATCAGAGTGCCGCTCCTCTCATCAAATGCGAAGCATCCAGAGGCCTGATCTTCACGTTCGAGCCAGCCAAAGTTCAGCGAGCTTGATTGGCGCCGGTGAAAAATCGGCGCGGGGTTGGGGGCGTGTGGTTGTCATATCTCCTCCAGCCTCTCCTGCCTAGCCGCTTCCTCCACCGCTGCCCTGCCGCTGCCTTCCGGCTCGCAGGGTCCTTCACTAGTGTGGCGCGCCGGGAATGCCGCCCTTTGTCGGGCGTCAGAGAAACGAGAGAGAGCGCGGCCTTTTTCGCTGCGGGTGCCGCTCTACCCGTATCACTACATTCCCCCTTCCTGTGACTTGCTATAATGATATATTCACAAAGCGCGCGGTGCGCATCAAACCCGTCCTGCGTGCGAAGTCGCAGGCGGCGGTTCTCGGCGCGCAGCTTTGCGTGGATGGCGGGGCCTAGTTGCAGCGGTGCGTCGCGGACCACGCCGTGTTTGGCGAGGGTGCGGATGCGCTGCCCAAGACCGTAATGGAGGCAGGGGGGAGGCGGCAGCGCGGTGGGCGGAGGTGCGCCGCCAAAATGCATTGGGAGTTGGCTGGCGACGGCGTGGCAACGGCGCGGCGGCCGCGGAGAGCGAAGACCCAGTGCGCGGGCGCTGACTTCGAAAAGTTCCGCGGAGCTTATCCTGGGCTCGCAGGCGCCGTGGAGGTGAGTTGCATGAAGGGACGAGTCCTCTCCTGTCAGCGAGAGCTGGCCGCGAGGGCCAATATAAGATGCACAAGAGAGTCAGCGACCCCAGGACTAGTTAGTTGGCGTTCGTTGAAAGACGCTGGCCGTGAACCCGGCGAAAGGGGCAACGACTTTAGGGAGGAGCAATTGATTTGAACGCGGGCAACGCCATCGCCATGGGGATCACGGGTGAAGAGACGCCCAGGGTGGGGCGGGAGGCCGCGTGCGAGCAGCTGCAATGCCAGGGCTCGCGCATCCAGTCTTCTGTCGTACCAGGCGACCCCCTCCTGGTGCCCCTCGACGAGCGCTCCGTGGAGAAGTGCGTAAGGAGCGCTTTTGGGGGCCCGCTGCAATCCTCCTCCTCTTCCTCGTGGTCGTCGTCGTCCTCGCTCGGCGGCGGGTGCGTGCAGTCTTGGACCGTCGCGTGGGCGCACGGTTGGGAAAGCGGAGAAACGACCAGTCACCCAGATGCCATGAGGGACGCGCAGTTTTACGGCGTTGCGGTGCCCTGTCGCACTACGGATCTCGGTGTTCAGCGCGGGGTGGTTGCGCTTCGTCGTGGGTACGTGCCCCAAACGTGCCAAGAGTGTTTTCCCTCTTTCAGTGGGTCTGAGTGGAAGCTCATTCACCACATATCGTACTCATTTTCGCGTGTTTGTAGACGCTACGTGGGGCCGCTGGCGGCCACGTTTCTGAAGACAAATAATAAGAAGAAACAACACATGATAATAACCATGCGAATAGCAGTACCAATAATACGAACCATGAGAATTATAGCAATGAGAATAAGACGCAGCAGACAACTAAACAAATTAAGAACAATCATGGTAATACGATTAAGACTGAGACGAGCAACGGTAGTAATAACAAGAATAAGAATAATAGTAGTACGAGTAATACTAATAATACGCATAACAATAGTTAACTTCAATACTACGGATAACAACATAAATAATAGTTACACGAATTTAAACTTAACGGGGAGGGCGGGGAGGAGGGAACCCTGTTCTCGCAAGGCAGCGCGCGGCCATGGTGCAGGCTGCCTCTGGGGGGCGAACAGGGCGGGGCCAGCGCCCCGCAGGCCAGGCGCCCGCCTCGCCCCTGAACGCGGGGCGCTGCGCCACGGCGGCGGGGAGCTGCGGCCGCGACGCCAGCACGCGCTGTCCCCCCAGCGGCCCTGCGTCCTCCTCGAGGACTCTTCCCGCCATGGAGCGACTGGAGGGATGCGCCTCGTTTGCCCCCGCCTTCACCCTCATCCCAGTCATCATCCCCACTCTCCTTCATCATCATTCTCACCTTGGCCCGTATCCTTACCCTTTAGTGTTTCACAGAGGGGGATATGCGTGAGTAGCTAAATCCGAGCGCGTGCTCGCAGGTAGGGTCGCTGGTGAAGCGCCCCTTCCGCGCTCGCAGGAGACGTCAGGGCCCTCACCCGCCGCCCCAGGGAGAGCTGCGCGCCGTTTGGCATCGGATTCGGTCTGCTTGGGCTGTTTACGCATGACGTTGAGACGGCCGCGTGCGGGCTTCAGGATGCCGGGTGCGATTCCCAGAGACATTGATGCTCTGGGGCGGGTGGTAATGAACAGGGGGTGACCCATATGGGGGGTGAAGAAGAGGGCCCTGAAGGGGCCCTTCTCTTCACTTCCCATCTTGCTCACCCCCCCTTTTACCACCCGCCCGACGCTCGCCTCCGAGTGCGTCTTCCAGGAGCACGCAGCCTTCTCTCGTCGAGCAAGGGCGACCCGCGCAAACAGAAGCACAACGACGCCGCAGGTGCGCGCCGATCCCTTGGGTCGGCGACGGGGCCCCGCCTGGGTGGCGCCCCCTGCGCCGCCTAGGGCGCGCGCCCCGCGCGCCCTGGGGGAGGAGGGCCCAGGTCCGAACCCCGAAGACGAAAAAACGCCATAAACATTAACTTTTGGCGCTCCGCGCTGATGATGACGATGACGACGATGACGGTGATGGTGATGATGATGATGATGATGATGATGCTGATGATGATGATGATGATGATGATGATGATGATGATGATGATGGTGGTGGTGGTGGTGGTGGTGGTGGTGGTGATGATGATGATGATGATGATGATTGTAGTGGTGGTGATGCTGCTGCTGATGATGCTGATGATGATGATGACGATGACGATGCTGATGATGCTGATGATGATGATGATGATGATGATGATGATGATGATGATGATGATGATGATGGTGATGCGATCCGCGCTGGGCCCCCCAGCAGCGCGTCTGGCGCCGCCCCTGGCGCGCTCCGTGCGCCAGGGAGGGGGGTCCGACACATATTCAAGGAGTCCGCGCCGAGCGCCAACGGAAAATGTTTGTGGCGGTTTTTCTTCGTCTGGAGATCCGCGCGGATCCTTGGAAGGTTACGTTTGTGTCGTGTGCTGAGCCTCTGCAGGTACAATCGGACCGAGGTGTAAGAACGAGATCGGTTCGGAGAGGGTCACGTTAGTATTCTTAATGCCTGTTCATTCCTCTGGTGCACGCTGGGGAGAGCACCCTCGGAGGTTCTGTGCGTCTTGGCCGACGTTGGGCCTCATGTTCTTGAGGGATGTTTGTCTGGCCTTGGTCCGACTGTGCTCCCCCCCTGCTGCTCCCTCTTCCTCCTCCCCCTCCTCCTCCTCCTCCTCCTGCTCCTCTTCTCCCTTCCTGCTGTTCCCTCCTTCTCTTCCTCCTCCCGCGCTGCGGCTTCGGCGCGGGCCCAGCTCCGTGGCGAGGTGCCACGGCTCTGTCCCGGCGGGCTGCTCGGCGCCCGCGAGTGCCGCGCGAAGCCCCTGGCTCAGGAGGGAACAAAAACACACGGACACAGTTAATCGTCGATTCCCCAGAGAATATGGGAAACTGTGGGGAGGGGGAGGAAGACAGAAACCCAGACTTTATGGGAAGCTATGGGGAACCCTGTTATTTAATCGCTTCGCTCATTCCGCCGGCCCTGGAGCACTATTTGGGGCCTCTTGGGGCCGTCTTGGGGGCTTCTTGGGGGCTTCTTGGGAGCGTCTTGGGGCTCCTTGGCGGCGTATTGGGCTCCCCTGGGGCCTCTTGGGGGGCTCTTGGGGGCCCCTTGGGGCGGCAGGGGGGTTAGTCGATTGCGGCCTCCCCCCCTCGGAGGCCACGATCCTCGTGAGGGGTGGCGAAAAATAGCCCCCCCCCTGGGTATCGCCCGGGGGTCAGCCGGGGATCGGCCGGGGTACTTTTCGTCCGGGGCCCCCCAGGGGCCGCCCCGCGCGCGCGAACTAGAAATATTGTTAAGTAGTTACTGGAGATCTTAGCACGCCTCTGGCCCGTTGGGAAGCTATGGGGAACCCTGTTATTTGTGCGTCTATTTATCCGTGTGTCCCAGGGCCCCTTCACTGGCCTCCGCCCGTGGTCTCGGGCCTTGGCCTGTCCAGATTTCGGGCCTTGGCTTGAGTCGGGCCTGTCCCCCTGAGGAATATTTTAAAGCAGTCAAAAAATAGTATGAGGACGATTTTGCTAGTGTTTGTGAATATTGTTGGAGCATTTTTGGAGCATTCTTGATTCTTGGTTTTTCGTCCACAATCCCCCTGTAGGGGGACAGGTCCGACCTAAGCCTTTGCCTGCCCACGCAGCCCCCACAAGGAGGCGTTCGGTACGGTGGTGGATCGAAAGTGTCCACACGTGTCTCGCCAAGACCGTTGTCCAAGCACGTCGGACCAAAATGTATGCCCTCCTTCCCCAGAATTCGAAGTTGACGGGTGTCGGCGGTAGGCCAAGGGCCACGGACAACATGTGGACGCTTCAACTTTGGGTTTTGGGGGGAGGGGTGTGCGAAGCAATGGCATTCCGCAGGTTTCGGGTCTCTGCCTGGCCCGCGCAATGCAGACCACGCAGCCCCCACAGGGAGGTGTTGGGCAGCACATCGGCGGCGAGCCAAATGGGGAAAGGAGAAGGAAAAGGCCGTCTCAGAAGGTGGCGGGGCGGGACTTCTCAGGTGCACTCGCGCCTCCTGAGAAGTTGTTTGTGTCGTCGGGGAAGGCTTGGAAAAGAAAAACTTCCCAGAAGGCCCGTGGCCTTCCGAGCCTTCTGAGAAGGCCCCCCCCATCTCATGTCCCACCGTCGCGCCGCCCAACAAATCATGGGAGCCTGATACATCTTTTAAATTCCGTCTTCAGCGTCGATTAGCGTCGATCAGCGTCTGGCAGTCGAGGAGATAGCGCCGATGGAGCGTCGGATCACCGTCGATTAGCGTCGACCCGGCTTTGGCGGGCGTCGACTCGCAAGAGCCCATGAGCTGCCGCCGAAGAGGTGGAGGCGGAGGACGACGATATGCGTGCAAGAGGTTCAGTGGGGGGCGGTCGGGTCCTCCTCCTCCTCCTCCTCCTCCTCCTCCTCCCGACCAGGTGGAGCGCCCTCTCAGATAGCCCGCGTCGCCCAGCGGTCTCGGGCGGTCGGCGGGCCCATGTGGCCCTGCACCCTCCCCAGCGCTCTGCCGTCCTCGCGGCGTTGGGTTCGCACCGTGAGATTGGAGTCCATGGGTCGGTGGATCCTCTATCTTCACTTCGTTGTGGGGGGGATCGGTTTCGGAATCGGAACGGACGTCAAGCGTCACAAACAACACTACTACGAAGTGGGTCTAAATTTAACCCCTGGTCAGCCTGTCAAGGTATTCGCCCCTCTTTGGTTGTAGGGGGGATCTGGTTCGGAATTGTAACAGACTTTTTGTCGCAACCGCAGGCGAGAGCGCCGGCGGCGTCACAGGTCGGCTCCGGCTACGAGCATAATTAATTGCCTCGAGCGCGCGCAGGCAACAACAAACCGACCGCCGGGGGACGTTGGGCTGCGCCGGGGGCAGAGGCTGCAATAGCTGCCAGGGGCAACCGGAACGGACGCCAAGCGTCACAAACAGCGCTACTGCGACTTAGGGTCCCAACTCAACCCCTGGTCAGCCTGTCAAGGTGTTCGCGCCTCTCTGGCGCCACAGGGACCTCCACGCATGGCTTGGCCAAAGCATGGAAATGAGTACTGCCATGCCTCAAGCAGCTCTTACAAAACGAATAACAATAACGGCTGGTTGGACTGTACAGCGTATCGTGTGTGCCGTGCTAGACCCACCCCAGTGAGAACTCCTGACGCTGGGGCCGCCTGAACGAGATCACCTCGATATAGGCGGGGAGGAATGCACGCGGTGCCTAGCCAGACAGTCGTGCCGCATTGCTTGAGCTACTCTAGCACCTGACGCGCCGCCTTCCCTGGGGATCAGCACGGTGGGACGAGGCGAAAATACGATGGCCGCGGGAGGCGGTGGCGGTGGTGGGGAGCGAGGGGGGGAATGATTGGGAGGAGGAGCAGCAGGCATGACGGTAGAAGACGAAAAAGGGTTACCGAGCTTCCCGTTCCTTACACTCACGACATCCAGGTGAGCTTTCATTAGTTCTTTTCCGTAGCAGCGATGCCATGCCCTCGATCTCCATAGTTTCGGTCTCCTGACGCTCGGGCAGCCTACGGTCTCGAGCAGCAACCCCTGACAACTCATCAACAACCGCGTTGCCCACGACAAAGTTCATGGGCATGCCGTTCTCCATTGCCTCGGGAGCATCCGGATGAGACGGCCCCCATAAAGCAATTATGTCATGGTCAGGACGGCCTTGATCTTCAAGAATCCTCACAATAGATCTCCGGAGTGAGGCTAGCCCCCCCTCAGGTTCGCGATGCCGTCTAGCCCACCACCCACCGAGCCTTTTTATCTGAGACGTTGACGATGGGCCCGATCGTGTGCACCCCTTCAGGTTCCGATACCGTCTAGCCCACCACCCTTCCACCACCGAGCCGTTATCTGAGACGTAGGCGACGGGCCCGATAGTGCATCGAACAATGATCTCAAGACCTGCAAGTTTGCCCCGAGGAACTGTTTGAGAAGGCCCAACCAAGGGCCCAGAACTACCCACCTTGACCGTCGGAGGACCGCATGAATTCAGAATGGCACCGCAAGGCCGACTCTGCGAAACATGGGGCTCTTTGAATCGAGGCTTCCAGGAGCTCCCCCGAGGACAATGGCAGGGCATCGCCATTCCGCCACTCCCGACTCCACGACACCCTGGAAGCAACTCATTCGCGCTCAGGCCTATGCCACTCCAAAGTTCATCCTGTACAGGTGGATCAGCTTTCAATCACCCCGCAGGAGTCAAGCCGCGAAGCCAAAGCATACGTAGTCACACACAGT